CTAAGTGCATGTCTGTAAATTTTCTTAAATGAATAATAAAGAATGCTTGTCAGATTTAATTGTGAGAATATTCATTGCAGAATTGATGACAGCAGCCAACAATGGAGGACAGGCTTCTCTTATAACTCCACTGGTAAAGAATCTGCCTACAAGATTCTTTACAGAGACCTGGGTTCGATTCCTGGATCAGGAAGATACCTTGGAGAAAGAAATGGCAACCCACTCCAGTATTCTTGCCTGGAGAATTTCATGGACAGAGGAACCTGGTGGGTTATACAGTCCATGGTTTGCAAAGTGTCAAACATGACTGAGTGACTAACACTTTCACTTCTTTCATGTAAATAGTCAACAATAGGAATTTATCTACTTAATGTACAGTCATTCAATGGATCACTGCAGTGTTTGGACACCATGAAAAGTACTACTTGCCAAGATATGAGGTCTGAAGAAGAAAGCACAGCATCTGGTAGAAGTATCTTCAAAGCAGGGAAATGGGTGGTCAAACAGAGATTCACTGTCTAAACTTCTCTTTCTTGAAGGAAACTAAAGTACAGAAGACAAGCTATGCCTGAGACTGCTACTTACTTCTGCTCTCTCTTAGGAAGAGAAATGATTTTATTCTGGCCAATGGGTTAAAAACAAATGAACAAAAAACGAAAAACATTTACCAGCTTCTCTTTAGTTAGAGATGGCAAATAAAATGCAAGCAAAAAGCAGTGAGTGGGAATCCTAGGAATGCCAGCTAAGAGGACAGGTGGTGGGGTGAGCCCCGCTTGTCCTTCCCCCTCTCTGCCTTTCTGTTGGCTGGAATCTGGGAATGATGGCAGGCGTTCAAGCAGCCACCTCGAACCAACTGACCATGAGCCATATACCATGAGCTGACCTTGAGGCTGAACTCAAGGTTCTTTAATAGAGTAGGAATACAGAGAAGCCTGAGTTTCCAGTGATAAGGAAATACAGTATGAGCCCTGGACTGCCTACCTCCAGAATTCTTTACATAAGATGAAAATAAATCCTTGTAGACTTAAGCCACCTTTATCTGGATTTTATATTCAGCTGAATCTAATTCCAACTGATTCACTAACTAAGTAAATCAGAGACCAAGTGGAAATCAAAAGGTTCCTCAAAGAATCACTGTAAGTTAGGAGGCTTTTGTCAGAAGAGTCATAATGGACAATATTATTTAATGAAGAGTATTAATATTGCTTTCAGTTCAGTCATGTACAATTCTTTGTGACCCCATGGACTGCAGCATGCTAGGCTTCCCTGACCATCACCAACTCCCAGAGCCTATTCAAACTCATGTCCATTGAGTTGGTGATGCCATCCAACCTTCTCATCCTCTCTCATCCCCTTCTCCTCCTGTCTTCAGTCTTTCCCAGCATCAGGGGCTTTTCTAATGAGTCAGTTCTTCGCATCAGGTGGCCAAAGTATCAGAGCTTCAGCTTCAGCATCAATCCCCCCAGTGAATATTCATGATTGATTTCCTTTAGGATGGACTGGTTGGATCTCCTTGCTGTCCAAGGGACCTTCAAGAGTCTTCTCCAACACCACAGTTCAAAAAAATCAATTCTTCGGCATTCAGCTTTCTTTAAAATCCAACTCTCACATCCATACACGACTATGGGAAAAGTCATAGCTTTGACTAGACAGACCTTTGTTGGCAAAGTAATGTCTCTGCTTTATAATATGCTGTCTAGGTTGGTCATAACTTTTCTTCCAAGGAACAAGTGTCTTTTAATTTCATCGTGGCAGTCACAATCTGCAGTGATTTTGGAGTCCCCCAAAATAAAGTCTGTCACTGTTTCCATTGTTTCTCCATTTATTTGCCATGAAGTGATGGGACTGGATGCCATGATCTTAGTTTTCTGAATGTTGAGTTTTAAGCCGACTTTTCTACTCTCCTCTTTCACTTTCCTCAAGAGGTTCTTTAGTTCTTCGTTTTCTGACATAAGGGTGGTGTCATTTGCATATCTGAGGTTATTGATATTTCTCCTGGCAATCTTGATTTCAGCTTGTGCTTCATCCAGCCCAGCATTTTTCATGATGTACTCTGCATGTAAGTTAAATGAGCAGGGTGACAAAATACAGCCTTGACGTACTCCTTTCCTGATTTTGGAACCAGTCTGTTTTTTCCATGTCCAGTTCTAACTGTTGCTTCTTGACCTGCATACAGATTTCTTAGGAGGCAGTTCAGGTGGTCTGGTATTCCCATCTCTTTAAGCATTTTGAATATTTAAGAATATTGCCTTACCCAATAATAATTGTTAGCATTTACTTTTCTCAATTAGAAGAGCCAGGTATAAAAATGTCTCTGAATTTTGTTTTCCAAATATGTCTGTCACTGATGATGTCGGTTGAATCTGATGATTTAAGAATATGTTCATGTGAAAAATTTGGTCATCCTATAAGCAACATTGGAGAGTCTAAGACAGCTGGTGGTAGCTGAAAGTTTTAAAAATATGTTCAACTTTAATATATTTTCTTTGTTATAATGCAGTCTCTCTCTGTTGCCAGAAACATTTGGCAAAGTCTTTTAAACCTAGAAAGTTAATTTTTTGTGGATAATTTCTAAAGAAAACAAAGGAAAAGAGAGCTGAGTGCCTTCTTAGGGTCAGTCTGGCTTTAAAAAAGAAAGACTAATTAGGGAAAGTGAGATGCTTGTAAAAGAGAACAAGAGTTCTGCAGAGATAGCAAGTGAGAACCAGAAGTGACAAGTGAAAATATTAAGTCCAGGAAATCTGAAGAAATCTTGGGGAGGCCATTAACATAGAATAGGAGACTCAAATCAAATTTATATAAATCTCAAAGTGTAAGATCCTGCAGCTGATACTGGAGCAACTTTTTCATATGTGCTACTGAATACTCTGATATGTATTCTCAAATCCCTTACTACAGGATCAGAGATCATGGTGAAATGTGAGTGAAGAAAATTTTAACATCTTACATAAGAAGTTAGCCCATTCTCAGACACTAGGCAAAGTTGCTCTCTCCAAGAATTCTTCACTTGAAATGCTCCTGATCTGACTCCTTGAGTTTTTCCATAGGGAATTAACAAATAAAAAACAGACTATCTAGAACACTCATAAGAAATTAAGCCCAGGTTAACATGGCAGGCTATGGATTTCAGTAAAACACACAACTCTTCTTTTTGAAAATAGATGGTGAGATTTTAGTTGTTCATTTATTATTATTTTTGACAATGCTTTAAATTCTAAGCTGATATCCCTACCACCTCTAAATTCTTATACTCTAAAAGAATATATGGTTTCATAGAATGTTGGTTATAGCACTGAAACTGAAAAAAATATGGTGAAACTAAGTTATTATAACCTCATCTAAGAATTTTACATTTACTATCAACAGATGATTCTAATTACCCTTTACTCCTACCCTTTGCATGCATGCTAAGTCACTCCAGTCATGTCTGACTTTTTGCAACCCTGTGGACTATAGGTTTCCTGGCTCCTCTGTCCTTGGGATCCTCCAGGCAAGAATAATGGAGTGGATTGCCATGCCCTTCTCCAGGGGATCTTCCTGACCCAGGGATTGAAAGTGCATCTCTTATGTCTCCTGTATCAGCAAGCAGGTTCTTTACCACTAGGGCTACCTGGGAAGCCCCCTCCTACACTCTACTCCTAGTGAAAAAATGGAGCTTCTCTTTACAGGAAAGATTGAAGGAATTTCTTTCATCACAAGTCCCACTTTTGTTACTCGGTGGGTTCCTCTTCCATCTCCATGTTTCTCAATAGCGCCGTTGTTCTTCATCCTGGACACTGTAGCCCAACCCAAGCAGATGGGCCTCCTACACTTTGTTAAAGAGGAAGAGGGGAATTTCAGGATATCAACAAGGTATGGCCAAGGTTTTATGTAAGATACAGTGACATATGTTTCACATATTGGAGTTTAAGACCAAATTCCCAGTAACTCTCACGGCCATTACTGCAACTGAGAGGACAGAAAAGGTTGAATGTACCTAACAGCCCTTCCTAGCAGTCATTTACCCTTGCTCTTGTTAGCACTTAACACTTATGAAACTTTTTTTTTTTGCATTTGCCCTCAGTAAGATTCAAATTAAAAGTATATGACAGCTATCTGGTTCCCATAGCTCAGGACTCCACAGCTGTCTTAGGCTGGACCATCCAGGAATCCCATCTGCCCACTCTCTTCTCTGGCCTGTGGAATAAAACTCTCTCAGTTATGTTTTCCTTTTGAACATGAGCCCTACCAATTTGGACTCTACTCATCTATGTGGGGGTCTTTCTTTCATAGATCATTTTTAAACTTGAGAATATTTCATCATTCTCCTTCTAGGTGTGCTGCATTCACTTTTCAACGGTACTGCCGCTGCTGCTGCTAAGTCGCTTCAGTCGTGTCCGACTCTGTGCGACCCCATAGACGGCAGCCCACCAGGCTCCGCCGTCCCTGGGATTCTCCAGGCAAGAACACTGGAGTGGGTTGCCATTGCCTTCTCCGTCAACAGTACTAGCCAGTCCCTAAATCCACCCTTAAGCATCGAAATCTAGGATATGATCCTTGTACTATGCCCAGCAGTGGTGTTACATGTCACTTACATTTCAAAAGCAATGCCCACAGACTTAAATCTGCAAAGTCCCTGAGACTTGACATTTATTACTGAGTAAAGATAATTCTGGTCCATTTTCTGGGGTATATTCTTTAAGTTCATCATATGGCATGCTGTGATAACATTACCTTAGTGAACCACAGAGGCAGCTGTGTATGAGGAAAGTAGAACCCTTTGGTGGCGCTGACAATGGTATACTCAGCTTTGTTGTTTAGAGAGTTATTTTTATAATGGAATCTTATAAATATTTAAATATGTTAAACTTGTTGGAAGAAAAATTCAAATCTGAGTTTTATTCCCAAATCTACAGCTGCGTTTTGGACTGGTAATACACCAGTGCTGTTGGTAAGATACTTGATAGTGAGGAGCCACTGGAATTCTCTACTCAGCTTATTCCTCTCCTGCGGTCGCTTACCTGTGATGGCCAGCTGAGTCACAAAAAAGGTCATCCTTGACTTCCTCTTCCTCCTCCAGGTAGAGAACAGCACGATGGCATTTCCAACAATGGTGAAAACAAAGAGGACCCACAGAGTTATCAGCTGCTCAGTCTGTGAAAAACAAAGCAACCAAAATCCAGTGTAAGTGAGAACCCTGGTACTTTACAGAAAGCAAGGCTCAGGCTTTGTTGTTGAAATGTCTTCCTCCTGGTCTCCTGTCCCCCACCTGTCAAATCTCTGCTCTCAAGAGAATAAAAACACAATGATCCTTATTTACACTGGTAGAAATGTAAACCATCAAAAAGATCTATTTGGAAATATATGTCAGCAGACAAAAATATAGGCACAGTATTCTTTGGCTAAGCAATTTTAAGCCTATGTGAAAGAATTCTAGGTGTTAAAAAGAGCACTACAATCACAAAGATGTGTCTATTTATTGTAAGAAGAAATTTGAAATTGCTTAAAGATAACAGGATAGTTAAGTAAATAAAGCACTTCAATTCAGTGGACTATTATGTAGCTATTAACAACGACAGACTTGAAGATTATGTGGCAACATTAAAAATGCTTATAATGTAATGGTAAATGGAAAACATAATAAAATTATATATTGGGTATGATTACAACTCTGCAAAATTATACATGTAGGAAAAGAACTGAAGTGTACTAAAATGTTAAGAGTGGTTATTTTAGGGTAGTGTGATTATGGGTTTTCTTACTCTTTTTCCTTTGACCGAATTGTATAATACAGGAATATTAAAATTCCACTGAGAAAATGTATAATTAGTAAAAGTGAAAAACAAGTAGGAATGCTACTCATTCAAAATGTCAAGTTCTTTATAAAAAGTTTCCCACTCTCCCTTTAATGGAATTTTTCAGCTATCTTAAGTCCAAAGCCCAGAAAAACAGAGGCAACAGGATGGGCTGGACACAGGGACTGGGGAGGGCTGCGCTGTAGGTGAGAACAGGGCCCAAGGGGACCCAGAGGCAAATCAGAGATCAGAAGCTGATAGACTTCAGCCCAAAATGTCTGGGCGGAATCCTGATAAGACTGTGCACGTCTAAGACCAGGATGCAAAGTGTTTTTCCTATTTGGAGAAGACAGTAAGAAGAGCCTGAAGAAGGGACTTCCCTGGCAGTAGAGTTGAGACTTTGCCTTCCTGTGTGTGGGGTGCAAGTTTGATCCCTGGTTAGTGGGGCTAAGATCTTATATGCCTTGAGGTCAAAAAACCAAAGCATGAAACATAAGTGATATTGTAATAAATTCCATAAAGATTTTTTAAATGATCTACATTTAAAAAATCTTACTAAAAAAAGAAGAGCCTGAAGAAATCCCTTATAATGATAAAATTGTATGTGATAAAATTGTATCCTGGCTAGGTGAGAGGACCCAGCTATTTGGTCAAACTCTAGCGTAAGGTGGTTGTTGTGAAGGTTAACATCTATAATCACTTGACTTTAAATAAAGCAGATTACCTACCTAATATGGGTGGACATGGATTTCATCCAATAAGTTGAAAGCTTTAAGAGAAAAAGCTGAGGTTTCCCCCGGAAGAAGGAAGATTCCCTGAAGAATTCATTATAGAACATAGGTATCAAGCCTGAGTTTCCAGCCTGTCACCTCCTTTAAGAATTTCAGACTTGGAGTCCCCACAATCATGTGAGCAAATTTCTTAAAGTAAGTCTCCTCCTTTCTTTCTTTCTCTCAATATAATATACTAAATATTTATCTGGGCTTTCCTGGTGGTTCAGTGGTAAAGAATCTGCCTGTTAATGCAGGAGATACTGATGTGTTCCCTGAGTCAGAAAGATCCCCTGGAGGAGGAAATGGCAATCCACTCCAGTATTCTTGCCTGGGAAATCCCACGGACAGAGGAGCCTGGCATGCTACTGTCCATGGGGTTGCAAAAGAATCGGACATGACTGAGCAACTAAACAACATATCTATCTATCTATCTATCTATCTATCTATCTAATCCCTCTATCTTTCTATTGGTTCTGGTTTCTGAGGAGAACTCTGACTGAAACACTCCCTGAAAATCTGAGGCATCACAGCAGCACTTTCTCTTATACTATATTAATTTTAAATTACACAGTAACAGACAAACCAATTCTTTAAAAACTATAATGAACCAGATAAAGCTCAGATCCCATTTGCCCACCACTTTTAATCTTGATCAAGTCCCTTCTCTCAGAAAGTAAATATCCTTTCAATTGCATTGTATATCCTTCTTATCCTTTGAAAAACATGTCATAAGCATTCACACACACACATCCATGGTAATTAAATATCAAGCTGATATTAAAGTTCTCCATCTCACATGTACAGATGAATTCTGAGGCCGCAGAAAGGTAGAAGTTAGGGAATGTTCCTTGTGGTGGTGGTGTTGGGGGCAGGGTGGGTCACAAGTGGAGTGAGAGCACCAGATCTGGACAATCTCTTCTGCTTTAAAGCCCACCAGTGACAATACCTCACCTCCAGCATGCTTACATCATCTCTCATTGGGAAGACAGTGTCTTTGCTCAGCACCAGACTTCCTGATTTTCTCTGGTCCTTTTCTGACCAGAAGGGATACCTTTTTCTGGATGACTCATTTCTCTAGCAGCCTAAAAATGGGTGGTACTGAGAAAGCATTAGGAATGGAAACAAATTGTTATGAAAAGGGTTGTTCAGAGACTTTGTAAGAGAATGCTCTCCTTTGAGATCCATGGACAACTGTGCTGTCAGGAGCAGATACAGCGGGGGAGGCCTTGATGGGCCAGTCTGACCTTCCCTATTCAGCAGCTCATGTGTGGGTAGTGAACAGAAATAAGTGGTTTGAACTTGGAGGACCTGCTTTTTAAAACTGTAGAACAACCTGGGGACCAATCCAAGAAAATAGGTGGCTTGGAAGTCAGCAGATCTTTTGTGGACATTATGATGTTGGCAGATGACACGGGAGATGCATCAAGCATTTATGTCCCCAATATGGTCCTAATGTCATTTGCTCTCTTGCTCTCTGGGAAGATGATGGCATCCTGGTAGTGCACATGGTTCAGGAAAGATCAAGGAGCCCTTAGAGCAGGTGGTGTGGCAGGCGGGGCCTGCAAAGTCCTTCCCAGGCCTGCTGAGAACACAAATGAGAGCTTTTCTAAGAACTTCTCCATTTCTCTTAGGAGATCTTTTTCACCTGGAGAAGTGTTTCGATGCCTTAAAAAATTCCTTGCTTTGAATTATAAAACACTATTCCATTTCCAGAAAATTTTCTCTATTTGGGTGGAGGTGGAGGGTAGTTTATATCCATACTTGTCCAGTACTAGTCAGTCTCTGTTGAACTCTTTCAGCCTCAGATGAAGAAGAAAAGGAATGTTAGAATGCTTCTGATTTTTTTTTTTTTTATCAGATCAGAAATCCAGGTCTGCACAGTGAATGGGCAGAGAGTAGCATCTGGAAGGAGACAGAGAAGGAGGCCTGGCACTCTGAGGGGACAAGCGAGTGCAGTGAGTACAGGCTGTTTTCCTCACCGAGTCCCCCGTCTTCGCCAGCACCACTCCTGGCCCTGCCCAGCTCCAGCCTCCCTTTAACTAGGAGGAGGCAGTTGGCCGTCATTCTCCTCCCTGGAGTCTGAGGCCATCAGTGAACTCCCCACAGAAATCCAGCCCAGCCTCAGCCTCTGGACTGCGCCTTCCTGGGTGGGATTCCCTGGGGGCCTGGCCTCCCTCCCTGATTCAACAGGACGACTCTTTCTTCATGGGAGAGAGTGAACAGCCTGCCGCTTGTGCTCCGGCGCCTCCACACCTTGCAGAGACAACCTCCAACTTTACAGCAAGTCGGCATCAACTTTCCCCATTTTCTACTTCTGACACAGAATTTTTTCCAACTAAAATTACACTCTGAAGGACTTTGGGAAGAGAATTAGAAAGAGAATTAAGTGAACCCAGGGTAATTTTGAACTAGAAGTCAAGGTTTTTTTCCCCCCAGAATCCCTCTTTCTTCACAGTCCCTTTTCCTACTAAGTGCCTATGGGAAGTACAGTTAGGCCACATCTCCAGGAAAGTAATACTGAAGTGGGCAAATGACTTGCTTTTCACCAAGCATACTGGGGATTATGCTGCTGACACCAAGATTCAGGTTTCCAGAAATCACATTTCTCTAGTAGAGGAGCCACCGGACTCCCAGTGGACATGGGAGGGCTGCTTTTTCCATCTTTGTACTTCAGGATCCTGACCCAGGCAGCCAATCTCTCCAAAGTAGGCTTGGGGCTCAGAATTGCCCTGCTGGGAGCAGAGAGTGATAAATAGCTGCAAATCAAATTACCCCATTTTGACGTATCAGTGAATTGGAGGTCAGGTCTCAGGAGGGCTTGGAGCAGTGAGTGCTGGCTCTGCAGCTGAGCCTCTTCTGAAGAACCTGCAGTAACCATGCTTTGGGCTGGCTGGCCCAGGGTGCTCTTTGAACAGGCCCAGGTCTATAATGCTCTCTTTGGGGTTAGATAACATCTGTGGGGTGGGTTGAGCAAATTCTGTGAAATCAAGTCTACTCCTTCTGCTTTGCAGTTTTCTATTGAAAGACAGTCTCACCTTAATTCATTGGCTTCAGGAAATTTCTAGATGGAAGAAGCTCCCTATTGTAACTTTCTAAGAGCTGTGTGTATTTATTTATTCATTCATTCAATATCAATGAATTGTGTACAGTACAAAGTGTTGACACTACAAAGCAGGCTAAAACACGTAGACTGTATAAATGATACTGCTAAAATTAAATCCTGTGTGTGTCATCAGTTGTCCAAAGGTCATTAAGTATAAAAACAATTACATAGTTGTAAGATCATTTTATTCATAGCATTCTTAACCTATGCATGCACATACACCTAAACATACACACGCATCCCAAGGTAATATGAAGATTTGGAGAACTACAAGAATGGGAATTGGGGAAACAAGTTTAGAGTCATTTGAGTGTCACAGTCCAGTGAGCCGTTTAGTAGAAAAGGGAGTAGGTTTTCAAACCTGCCTGATTTGGGATGAGATTCTTTACTGCTTGCTGGATGTGTGACACATCAGTAAGTGATAACCTCTCTGAGACTGTTTTCTCATTTATAAAAGGATGACGGAAATGAAATCTGTCTCAG